TAACCAACGTGGAAGATTTGTAGATTCAGGATGACAAACCACTGCTGAAGGCAATTACAAAGGCCTGAACAATGGAAAGTTCCTCCTGTGTTGCCAGGAAGGATGATGGCCATCCTCCCCAAGCAACACATAGATTCAGCACTGTCCCTCCCGTACGCCCAGTGGCCTTGTGCAGAAATAGAAAAGCCAATCCTTTTTTGTTTTTTTTAAAGATTTTATTTATTCATGAGACACAGAGAGAGAGAGAGGCAGAGACACAGGCAGAGGGAGAAGCAGGCCCCATGCAGGAAGCCTGACTTGGGACTTGATGCCGGGACTCCAGGATCACGCCCTGGGCCGAAGGCAGACGCTCAACCACTGAGCTGCCCGGGCGTCCCAGAAAAGCCGATCCTTAAATCCATGAGGCTATCAGGGGCTTTAAGTAGCTAAAGAGCCTTCAAGAAGCTGGAGGACTGACACTTCTTAGTTTCAAAATTTCCTACAAAGGTACAGGAATCAAAACTGTGGTTTTAGCTTGAAGAGTAAACACATGGGCCAATGGGATACAACAGAGTCCAGAAATCAGCCCAAGCATCAATGGCCAATGGATTTCCAACAAGGGAGCCAAGAACATTCAAGAAGAGAGAATAGTTGGGATCCCTGGGTGACGCAGCGGTTTGGCGCCTGCCTTTGGCCCAGGGCGCGATCCTGGAGACCCGGGATCGAATCCCACGTCGGGCTCCCGGTGCATGGAGCCTGCTTCTCCCTCTGCCTGTGTCTCTGCCTCTCTCTCTCTCTCTCTCTGTGACTATCATAAGTTAAAAAAAAATAAAAAAAAAAGAAGAGAGAATAGCATCTTCAACAGATGAATAACCACATGCAAAACAAGGAAGCTGGAACCTAACCCCATTTCATATACAAAAGTTAATTCAAAATAGATCAATGAGGGGCGCTTGGGTGGCTCAGGCGGTTAAGGGACCGACTCTTGGTTTCAGCTCAGGTCATGATCTCCTGGTGGTGGGATCAGTGTGGAGTCTGCTTCAGATCCTCCCTCCCCCCTACACACTCTCTCTCTCTCTCTCAAATAAGTAAAATTTTCTTAAAAAAAAATGAATCAATGACCTAAACTATCAGAACTATAACTGTAAAGAGAAAATATAGAAATAAACATTCATGACCTCAGAATTGGCAACAGATTCTTAGGTTTGACACCAGAAGTATGAGCAACAAAAGAAAATGTCAATTAAAATTGACCCATAAAAAACTGAAATTCATACATCAAAGGATATTATCAAGAACGAAGAGGCAGCCTACAGAATGGGAGGAAATATTTATAAATCGTGGATCCCATAGAGGTCTAGAACTCAGAATACATTTAGAGCCCTTAACGACTCCACAAAAAGTCAACCCAATTTAAAACCACACAGATGCAGCCCGGGCACCTCTCCACGTGGACGGACCCGGACACGAAAGGACGGAGAGCGGGTGACTCCGCACGGAGGTCCGGGGCGGGGGGGAGAAGAGCCCCCGAGGCGGCAGGTGACACAAGCTCCGGGGGCCCAGGGGGCGGAGAAACGGGAACGTCTTGCTTAATGGGCACAGTTCTCGTTTGTGACAATGAAAAGTTTAACCCAAAGGTGGTTAAAGTGGTGAATCTTGCGTGTGTTTTACCAGAAAAAAAAAGCGCGAAGGACTAGGACAGACGTTTCTTCAAGGCTACAAACGCCCGGCACGCGGCGGGCAGCTGCTGCTCAGGGACCGGCTCGGAGCCGCCGACCCACCGCACGGCGCCCACTGGCACGGCTCCCGGGAGGGGCTCCGAGCCTCGGGAACACGGAAGGCCGCGCGGGGTCCCGGCGTGGGAACAAGGCCCATGTGCCGGGGGTGAACGGACCAGCGGACACGGTCCCTCATGGGCCGTGGCCTCACAAACCCCAAACAGGTGCGGACGCCATCGGGTTAGGGGGAGGCCAGGGGTCCTCGGGACGGAGCGGGGGCAGAGGGGACGGGGGACCGGGGACGCATCTCCCGGTGGCAACCCACCAGTGGGCCCGGCTGAGCAGGGCCGGCCCCGGGGGACGCAGGGGGACCGCGGCGCACGGGCCAGGGCCGAGGGAGCAGCCTGCGGGCACCGATTCCGACTCGCGGCCCTCGATACTGTAGCAGAGTAACTTCCGCGGTCTTGTCACTCTGCTTGTGGCCATTTGTCCCCGCGGCCACAGGAAATCCTGTCGTAAGGTTTCTGAAAAAGCCAGAAGTCCGCGGTGGCCGGAGCTGGCGTGGAGGTGGTGGGAAGGGACGCCGGGGCCTCTGTCCAAACCCACGCACGCCGCGCACCCCCGGCGAGGACTGGGCCAACTGGTAACTAGATGGAAAAGCTAAAACCTTGAGTTACTGGTTAGTGAAGGCGCGTGTCCTGGTGGCAGTGCCTGCGCGGCTCCACCCGAGCCTGGACCTGGTGCCGCAGAGGCTGCGGTCGGCCTGGAGGGCGACGGGCACGGGGACGGGGACGGGCTCCCTCGTCCCACTGCCCCTCCTTCCCTTGCAGGTCCTGCGGGACAACAAAGGGCAAGGCTTACAACGTGGATGAACCAGAAACACTCCGCTGGGGGCCCCCGGGGGGCTCCGTGGCTGAGCATCTGCCTTTGGCTCAGGGCGTGACACCAGGGTCCTGGGATCGAGTCCCGCGCCGGGTCCCTGCAGGGAGCCTGCTTCTCTCTCTGCCCGTCTCTGCCTCTCTGTGGGTCTCCCATGAATAAATAAATTTTTTTTAATTTATTTATTTATGATAGTCACAGAGAGAGAGAGAGAGAGGCAGAGACACAGGCAGAGGGAGAAGCAGGCTCCTTGCAGGGAGCCCGACGTGAGATTCGATCCCGGGTCTCCAGGATCGTGCCCTGAGCCAAAGGCAGGCGCCAAACCGCTGCGCCACCCAGGGATCCCTCCCATGAATAAATAAATAAAATCTTAAAAAAAAAAAAAAATCCCACCCCACGCGCTGTTGCCTCCTGCCCGTCAGGCGCACTCTGGCTTTGGCTGGTACCGGTGCACGTGTGTGTTTCCGTGGCTGTTGCATAAAGCAAATGGTTTTAAAATTAATGCCCAAACCACAAAATTTCTAACCTGAAACCCACAGTATCAGCACGGGGGAGGGACAATGTAATGAAAACTGCAGGTACAAGGAGCTCTCGGACACGCGGTCGGTTTTTACCACGAGCAAGCAGCGTTCAGCAGCGCCACGGAGTAACAGGGGTGGCGGGATCACACGCCTCGGCCGAGTCGAGGTTGGCCTCCCGACCGCGCACTCGGCCGACCCGTCAGAAACCAACGTGAGGCACATGAGCAGAATAAAGGACAACGTGAGCACTTGAACAGATGCAGAAAAACTACACGACAAAATCGTGCCCCCAGCCCCACAGCTGTGAACCCGGTGAGAGCCCAGGGCGCCCCGCGGCCCTCCACCCGCCACCTGCCATGGGGGGCGGAGCGAGAACAGCTTCAGCGGGATTAGATGCTTAAAACAAAACAAAAAAATATCTGTGATCCTCAGAGACACAGAACACACGGTATCTGCCGGGTGGGTATGCGACGCCCAGGTCACGACCAGAAAGTGCTGCACGCGAGTGCGACTGCTGCTCAGAAGAAAGACAAACAGATGTTAGAATTGCAGATGTCCACAGCTGCGCCCTGAACATGCACGACGACGTAACAAAGACTGCTCAAAGGACCGGGAACATTTGCTAAGGATCGGATACTAATTTTAGAACAAATAGTATCTGAAATAAGAAAGACGTGGTTAAAAGAAAAAAATACGTGGTCACAGGCTTTAAAGCAGAATGGGCAGTGATAGGGCATCAGTGGTGAGTCAGTGCTGGATGAAAATTAACCTATTTTTCTTAAAAAAAAAAGGGGGGGGAAAATATTTAAAAATCATATAAACAGGCGCAGTGACCGGTGACCAGGACAGACTGGCTCCCAGGAGACGAGAGCAGAACTGGATGAGGAGATAATGGCCCAAAGTTCAACAAATTCGATCAAAGTCCTAAATTTACAGATTCAAGAAGTCCAACAGGCCCCATGATGATAGATGTATAAGGCACACAGAGAAACACCCATTTCCCAAGTCTAAGTTTGTGAAAGAGTCTTCACTTTGAAACCAAACGGGACCCACGAAACACCAGAGAAAAGCTCAGAGCTTCCTCCCGCGCAAGTCAGTTTGCCGCCACTTACAGACGAGCGGGTCTGAGGCCGCTGAGACGCTAGCACCTGCGTGTCGGGGACACGGTGACAGGGTCCCGACACGCTTGGTCCCTCGGCATGGGACATTTTTGTATTTCGGTAATTGCACCGAGATGCTCTTCTCTGAGACTATTACCCCAGATACTTTCAAGCCCGTTTGGAAGGAAAAGCGGCAGATGCAGCCGGACAGACGGACCGACGGCGTGCCACGGCTCCGGGTCCCTAAGGGGCCAGCAACAAACACATTAGCACCTGGGGGCAACTCGAGGTCGTCGGGCAGGCCCGTGAGTCCAGGCGCACCTCCCCGCCCCGACCCCGCGCGCCTCCTCCGGGCCCTTGTGAGGGTCGAGATTCCAGGCCCAGCTCCCGAGGTGCCAAGGTCGACCCGAGGCCGTGCAGAGGGTGACGCCGCCGGGGCGGGGGGCCCCCGGGAGGGACACAGCCTGCCGGGCGGCCTTCCCCCGGGGTCAGCAGTTGGGGCAGCTGCGCTCCGCCCCGTGGGAGCCGCTCGGGTCACGGCCATGGCACGCATCTGCCTCAGCCTCCCAGGCCCCACGCGGGCCCGCGGCGACAGCTGTGCCGTGTCCACGCGCGGGACGTGTTTGGGGACACACAAACCAGGACCGTGTGAACGAGGAGCCCTGGGCCGCAGCACCCGCCCCAGCCCCGACCGGCGCCGACGGAGCCCCGCTCCCCGCGCAGTGCCGCGGCCCAGGGCGGCCGATCCCAAAACTAGGGTTTGGTTTTGTGAGACACAATTGTTTCCCTCGACAGATACGGACTACAACAAAATTAGTCACTTTTATTTAAAAGGGACATTACAAATAAGTGCAAAATTAAATTTCATGATTAAATACACACGAAAGGAACATGCAGACTTTACACTGAAATCCACGTACAAAGTGAGTTGGTTACATGACAGTAAAAGAACTGGCAGGACGACAGCTGCGGCCCCAGACTTTCAACGTTCACAACCGGAAACCAGAACCGTGAAACTAGGTTTCTTTAAAAGGAATTTAAGAAAATCAAATACATACCTCCGGGAGCACTAACACCACAGAGCCCACGACCGGCCTCAGCCCCAAATGCCAGGAAGGGTCCTGGCGGGCCTCGCGCCCCAGCACTGCCCGCGGCCGAGGCCTGTGCGCCCGATGCCCGGCCGCCCTCCGTCCCGGCCAGGTGCCGCCCTCCTGGGGGCTGGTCTGAGAGCTACGCGCTGCTCTGCTCCCCACGCACGACGGAAACCCGGGCCCGGGGGCGAGCCCACAGAGCGCCGGGCCTCTGCCCCGATTCCAGCAGCTCCGACAGGACGGTGCCCCGTGGACACGCAGCTGCTGCGAGGCTGGCGACAGGCTCGGGGACGGCGGGGTCGCGGCGCAGGGAGCGCCACCCCGGGCTCCCCAGCACGGCGGGGTTGTTGCTCACGTCCAGATGGAGAAGGAACCCCTCCCTCCTGTCCTAAGGCTGCTGGTACCGTGGCCCCGCGTGGAGACCCAGGGCCGTCAGGACGAACACGGACACGCGTGCTCACCCCCCGTGACAGACTCAGGGAAAATGATGGAATCTGCGGCCAAAACAAAATTTAATGCGTCCATCGCTGTGTCAGCGCAGTCCGCGTGCGGAGCGCCCAGGGCACGGGGCGCAGGCGGGGGCGGCGGAAGCACGGAAGCGAGCGTCACAGCTGGACTACGGGTGACAGGCCAGCAGTCGGGCCCGGCTGCTCAGAGCCTCGGGAGCGTCTACACTGCCGGGAGGATGATCCTTCTTTAATACTGGAAACGGGAAGCCCTGCTCGGGAAAACAGACAACCGCAGGATGGCTTCAGGAGCGCGGTCCCGGGGGGTCCTCCGGCCGTGAGCACGAGGCCCGCGGGCACCGCAGCGCCACAGAGTCTGACGGGCACACTCAGCGCCTTGGGGTGGCCGGCCGTGGGCGCTGCTCGCACCCGGCGGAGTCACAGCTTGTCATCGGTCATTTCTAGAAACTGCGCGTAGACGTCCCGGATGCACTCCCCCTTGGGGTTGAATAGGAACTTGTAGTAGCTGCCGTCTGCGCAAATGGCTGAGACAGAAGGACACCGTTTCACTCCCGTTTCTCCGCGCGAGGTCAACGGCAGACCGCGCCGCGCTCACCCGGAAATGGCCTTGCCCCAGGTGGCCACCCAGAGTGAGTGTGGCTGATGGGGGACCCCCGCCCCGCCCTGCGCCCACGGCGGCCGGGAGCCCCGACCGTTCTGGGGGTGCCCATGTTCGACTGACACGTGGGGAAGCCCCGTGGGGTCATCAGTCCAAGCACCCACAAGCTGCTGGGGCGCCCCGGGCCAGGGCTGGTGTCTCCCCTGCGGCTGCACAGGCCCCACGCGGGACCCCGCCCGGGAGCGCGAGCACGCGGCGGCCACCGTGGGCCCCACTTACCGATGACGGCATTTGGCTCCGTTCCAAAGGCACAGATGCACGGAGAGCCTGAGGGCACCTGAAACTTGGAGAAACTCCACTTGGAGCTGAAGTACTTTGGAAGGAAGCTGGCGGAGGCCAGACTAGGGGAGGGAGAGAAGGCGGTTACGGCCGAGTCTCGGGGAGGGCCCGGTCCCTCGCAGCCCGAGCCGGGCCGCAGTCTGTCCTTTTAATTGGTCTCGTCACGTGGAAAACCAAAGTGCTCACGCGGGCTCATGGGAACCGGGCAAGTGCGGCACGAGGGGTGCGGCCCCGGCCCAGGTCCGCGATTGGGGCGGGGACCGGACCCTCGTCAGGCGGCAAGGAGGCCCAGCGTGCCCGTTCCCGCGCCGCGCACTGTGGCCGCTGACCAGGAGCGGCTGAGGGACACCCACGCGTGCAGCTGAAATTCCCTGCGTCACTACCGACTCCCCACATTTCCCTCAGACCCTCCTGTCGGCCAGTAACAAACGGTCAACTCCCGTCTCTTCTGCACGTAACACGGACCACGCGTCCGTGTCCTTGTAATAAAGCTACAGGTAGCACGTACCGTGGCCCGCGGCCTCCGCAGCTGGGCTGCCCGAGGGTCGCCGCCCTCGCTGTCACACAGCCAAGCGTGCACTGAGACCCGACTGTGACTCCACGCCCAGTGTGCCCGAAGGAGGGGCGAGCCCTGTTAACTCCGGGAAACCCACCTAGACTGTTTATTCCTTTTTGGATCTTCGGCAGCAAAAATGTGCACGGTGCCGTGGTCACTGGACACGCAGATGAGGGAAGCGTCCGGATTGAAGTTGATGCTGCGGGGACACGAGACGGAGCTGTGCTTCCGTGCGGACAGAGGAGCCGCCCACCCGCAGCAGCGGCCTGCGAGCCGGCCCCTGACCTTGGCCTCCTCGCATTCCTAGGACCCCGAGCACCACCGCCCCCATTCGCCAGCCCACGCAGGCCCCCCTCCAGTAGACTGGGTGCCAGGGAGAGGGAGGGGCTCCCTGCGGACCCCCCCGGAGGCCCCGGGGCCCTGAGGGCAGACACCGGAGACCCCACAGGGCTCCACAGGCACAGTCCCTACAGTCACGTATTAATCACGTTTATCACGCGGACCCAAATGCTGCTCAGCACCGGCCAAGGCCACGGGTGCGAAGGACGAAACCCCACGGGCCGCGGTGTCTCACAGGGCACCCAACTGATTACAGATGAGCTAACGAGTTCTGTGGTGTCTGCCTGATTCTCCTGTCTTCCCAGGAGAATCAGGTGGAGGCCAGTGGAGGAGGAGGAAGACGGCAAGTACGGACAAGCACGAGGCAGGGCGATGGGTCAACGGCAGGTAATCATATTCCTTCTCCTTGTGGACATAGTCCCACAGTAACAATTTAAAATTAGTCCTAATAAAACAAGCTCACACCTGACCCCCCACAGCAGGTGGGGACCTGGACGCGCCCTCCGTCGCATGCGCCCTGCCCACGCGGCCCACCCAAAGCCATGGCCCCGGGGGTACGGTGGGCTCTCTTACCAATAGATGTTGGCGGCTTGAGACCCTCTTCGTAATTCCTGGATTAAATGCCCTGATGAAGTATCAAATATTCTTATAAGGGTCCCCTTTGAAAAACAGTGAAGTGTTTTATTATCATTCACAATTTTTTAGTTTTTTTAAATGAATATCACACTCACAAACCCATTAGCCCGTACAACCCCTTCCCAAACTCACCCACATCATCTAACGCTCAACTTTTCCCTCCGCTGTCCCCGAGAAGCAGGTAGGTGGCTCTTCAGCCCAACAGCACCCGGCAGGAGCCAGAGCGCTGGGCGCCAGCCCCCCACTGACCCCACGCCTCTACGGCCGGGCAGATGCCGAGGAGGACCCCGCAGCCCGGGGGGACGTTCCTGCGGGGCTGTCAGCCCTGTCTAGAGAAATGCCATCTTTGCTCTAACTCCCACGGCCGGTTACAAAAAGAACAGTGATTCTGCTGCCAAAAACAGGAGCTTTCACCAAGTAACGGGACTTTTCCACAGTCTAGTCAACTCTGACTTGATCCCAAGAGAAGGTGGGAACCCGTAAGAGTCAGAACCCACAAGGAAGGGCTGCCTTTCTGCGGGGCCCACACGGTACGTCCCCGGGAGCAAGGGCGGCGGGGGCAGGTGCACGGCTCTGTCAACGGAGGGACACGCTCACTTTCTCAGATGCGGTTGCGATTCTTGTTCCCTGCAGGTTAAGAGCAATGCAGCTGAGGACGCCCTCGTGGGCTGGAATGTCCACGGGCGGCTTCTCGGTGCTGGCCAGGTCCACGAGCTGCACGTGGCCCGTGTGCGTGCCCGGGAAGGCCAGGAGGGAGTTGTTACTGTTGGGGCACAGGACGCAGAGGCCTGCTCGGAGACAGAGAAAAAAACCCATCAAGGACTCACGACTGTGTACAAGCCTCTGCCCTCTACCTCACAAAAGAATAAAATAAAAAAATAAGACTTACGCATGGGTTTTCCTTTTTTTTTTAAAAAGATTTTATTTTTCCTAGAGAGAGAGCATGTGCACACGTGCCCAAGCAGACAGGGGGCAGAGGAGAGGAGGAGAGAGAGAAGCTAGAGAGACTCCCTGCTGAGGGTGGAGCCCGATGTGGGGCTCGATGCCCTGACCCTGAGACCACAACCTTAGCCAAAACCAAGAGTTGGACGCGTAACTGACTGAGCCACCCAGGCGCCCCCAAGGGTTTTCATTTATATCGGACGCACACAATTTTTTCATTGTAAAAGGCACGAGAGGGCCAACCCAAGCTAACTCCAGGGGTGCCCGGGGGGCTCAGTGGTTTAGCGCCACCTTTGGCCCAGGGGGTGATCCTGGAGACCCGGGATCGAGTCCTGCATCGGGCTCTCTGCCTGGAGCCTGCTTCTCTCTCTGCCTGTGTCCCTCCTGAATAAATAAATAAAATCTTAAAAAAACAAAACAACAAAAAAAGAAACAAAGCTAACTCCAGTGAGACAGCCTCATAGTTGGAAACATCTGCTGAACTTATTTTTCTAAGATTTTATTTCTTTATTCCTGAGAGACACAGAGAGAGGCAGAGACACAGGCGGAGGGATAAACAAGCTCCCTGCAGGGAGCCCGACGTGGGACTGGATTCCGGGATCCCGGGGTCACACCCTGGGCTGAAGGCAACGCTGAACCGCTAAGCCCCCCGGGCTGCCCTGCTGAACTTATCCTATTTTTTTTTCTTTTTTTTAAAGATTTTACCATTCATTCATGAGAGACACAGAGAGAGGCAGAGACACAGGCGGAGGGAGAAGCAGGGTCCACGCAGCGAGCCCGACGTGGGACTCGATCCCGGGACTCCAGGATCACGCCCTGAGCCAAAGGCAGGTGCTCAACCACTGAGGCACCCAGGCGTCCCTGAACTTATTCTTGAATGAATTTTGTCAAATGTCTGTCTTCCACAGTGCCAGCCAGTGAGAATACAGAATTGTGAAATCTAAAAACTCCGTTAACAATTACATAAAAAGTCAAAATACTTAGGAATAAATATAACAGCATCTGTATAAGACACTGTAACACAATGTACAAAAAGGAAACCAAAGATCTGACAGATGGAGGAGTGACCCGATCGGATCTACTACGGTCACGGCTAGAATCTTCATCCGCCCGCAGGGTCTGTGTGGTCACGATTCAAGTCTCTGCAGCCTTTCTGAAGAAACAGACGAGTTGACACTAGAAGTTATAAGGAAAGGTGAAGTCCTAGAATGGCTAAAATTTTTTTGTGAAATAAAAAGATCGGAAGACTTACACAGCCTAATGTTAAGAATTATTTTAAAGCTCCAGATACCAAAGCAATATGGTACTGGCATAAGGACATACCACTGGAACAGAATAAAAAGTCCAGAAAAATCTTATATTCACCTGATCAGAAAAAAAGGTACCAAGATAATTCAATGCAGAAAAAGTAGTCTTAACAAATGGCACTAGAAACTGGATATTTATAAAGAAAAATACAAATCTGGGCCTTTGCTCATGCCACACACACACACACACACACACACACACACACACAGGATTAAACACCTAAGTGAAGATCTAAAGCTTCTAGAAGAAAATATCTTTTTTGCAAAAAACCACAGACCAACTGAAAATCTCTGCAAAACTAATAAGACCAGGGCCTTATCTAGAACATACACAGAAGTCTCACAACTGAGAAGATAAACAATGTTAAAATGGGAGAAGATGTGAAAACACCTCGTAAGAGACGTTTGAATGGCAACAAGCACATGACCAGACGCTCGTCGGTGCCAGTCCTCAGAGACATACGCAAACTCAAGCCCAGCCGCGTACTATTCCCGCGGCCACGGCAGCGGCCACGGCAACAGAGTGACACCAAGTGCTGGGCAGGGACCTGCCGCGATCCAGCTCTCCTAGATCCCCGAGGGGGGTTCAAGAAGACACGGCCCCTTCAGAAAACATTTTGTAGGTATTTTATAAACGTGGACACGTCATCACAGTATGACCCAGCACACGAACGATCTCGTCAGCACTCACCCCAGAGAAATCAAACGGCACCTCCACGCACAGGCGTGTCTGTGAACACTCGCGGCAACTTCTGTTCCTAAGAGTCAAGCCACCGCAGTGGATGAACAGTCCGCTCTCTCCATACCACGCACGATTACTTCGCAATAAAAACGAGGAAAAGAATAATACACGACAGGATCCCTGGGTGGCGCAGCGGTTTGGCGCCTGCCTTTGGCCCAGGGCGCGATCCTGGAGACCCGGGATCGAATCCCACGTCGGGCTCCCGGTGCATGGAGCTTGCTTCTCCCTCTGCCTATGTCTTTGCCTCTCTCTCTCTCTCTCTCTCTCTCTCTCTGTGACTATCATAAATAAATAAAAAATTTAAAAAAAAAAAAGAATAATACACGACACACGGAGGAATCTAAGAAATAGTCAGCTAGGAGAAAGGCCCTGAACAGAACCGAAAAGGCCAAACTTGAGGGCCAGCTGCGGAAGGGGCCGCCTGGACTCGGCTCCACCGAGGCGGAGGTTACACAGCTGCTTACAGCATTTACCAGGACTTCGGGTTATCAATCCGTAAACTTAAAATGAGTGAGTTTTATGCATATTACAGCTCAATAAAGCTAGAAGAAAAACACTAAAAATCTTAAAAAGAAATTAAGATGCTACAATGGGGAACAGTGTCACATACAATCCTGGCTCCGGAAGAAAAAGGAAAGGAAACCCCTAAAGAACTCAGTGAAAACACCCAACCGTAAGGTCCCCCAAGGGGCTCCTGAATAGCCGCCGCCCGGGGTGGGGGACGGGGACGTCCCTACACCCGGCCCCCGAAGGTGGTGGGAGGGGAGGGCGCAGCCCCTGCCTGGCAGGCCAGGTGCCGGCGGGCCGAGCTCCCCAGGAGGTGGCGGCGGGCACCGAGGGAAGCGCGTGCGCGGGAAACGTAGAAGCCGGTCTCCGTCAGGGGCCCCACGCGCCTCAGGACCCGTGTCACCACCGTCTCACCACCGCAGGCCACTCGCAGACCCGCCGCAGCAGAGGGCACCCCGCACACGTCCCCACGAGCCAGTCCCGTCGTTCCTCCTCTGAGTGTCTTACCTTTAGGATTATAGCAGGTTTCGAACACATGCAATTGATGGGGGTTATGTGTGAATGTAAACACCTTAATCATTGAGTCCAAAACAACCACAATTCTGGAAAGAAAAAAAAAAACACAATCAGAATTCCTATTCCCCAAAGCGAAACTCTAGACTTTTGTGATTTTTGTTCTTGTTCTTATAATTTTGAAACTTAGAGAGTCCAAACAGCACAGACAGGATCATTCTCGAACCAGAGCCCTGTGCCGGCGACGTCTCTGGAGCAGGTCACCCGTGAGCCCCGGGGTGTGGCGGGCGCTGGTGGACGAGGGCCTCTCCCCTGGGCCCCTGGGCGCAGGCTGCCTAACAGATCTCTCTGAGGTTTAAGGACATTTTCATCAAATATTTCACCCAGACTAAGAACCAAACAGAATATACGGGGCAGGAGTTATTTATCCACCGGAGGCACGTCTGGATACTTTAGAAACGCTGGGAATGGGCACCGCCTGAACTCCTTGGACATGGCCCCCGCCTCCGCATTGTTGGGAGCCCTACCAAGGACATTACTGCAAGTCACAAGCTACCCAAGAAGGCAGGTGTGACAGTCCCCTGTTCACAGGCACCCTGTTCGGCTCCGCCCCTCCCGCAGCAGAGTGTCGATATGCATCACACCAAACTAAAATCCAATTTAATGAAACTATCTTGCTCCACCTACTAGGAAAAACTTCTGTGTCCTCCTCAACACCATGACGGTGGTGGCTGCAAGAGGCCTGTACTCTCAGCAGGTGACAGCAAAGCCACCGTCTCCGCGAGGAGTCTCCAAATCTTCATCTTCCAACTTGTAACAGTTTGGGGTTTTTTTGGTGCAAAATGGTGGTTTTATTAAAGTGTTGGGACAGGACCCGTGAGCAGAAAGAGCTGCTGCCCCACAGGTAACAGTTTTTGAGGCAGCGTGTGGAAACGCTGGACCGAGGGGCGGCTCAGCCCTGCGTCCTCAGTGGGAGCCTGTGGGACGGGGACCGTCCTGGGAAGGACTGAGCACCCCCGGGCCGCGGCCAGGCACAGCCACTGCTTCCCAGCCATCCGTGGAAGCCCCTAGAATTCAGGCCTCCTCTGCAGCAACACAGAGAACCCCACGCCCTTTGGCTCATTACTACAATCATCACATTTGAAGACATGATTTTCCCAAACATGTTTTTTCCTCAAGTATTTCAGCCGTCTTGAGAGAAAGAGACTACTCCCACTTTCAAAACGGAGACAGCAAACCTACCGATCTCGCCGCAGCTTGACTGCCTTGACTTCCGTAGAAAACTCTATTTCAATAACAGTCTTCTTCTTCAGGTCATCCCAGATCATCACTGAAATTTCAGAGAGAACTCATGGGCGGGGTGGCCTTGCGGAACGGCCCGACCTCCGTGGAGCTGTGGCTCTCCCGGCGCCCAGGCTCAGAGTGGGGGGGGGGGGGGGAGGGGCACTGCACCCCGCCCAACGCGGTGGCTGGCAGCGGGGTGCTCACCTGCTCCCTCCCACCACCCCGACCCGGTCCACACCACCCCGGCTGACGCTCTCCCCTCCCCCCACCCCGCAACCCACACGCACACGCACCTCCTCGCTGCCCACCTTGCCTAGTTTCCAGGCGAACTTCTCCCCAGCCCCCTTTCCTGGCTTCCACCCGCCTGAACCCAAAGCAAGCTGGAGACACCCCTGGACCCAGAGAAGAGAGGCTTCAGTTTCCGTGGATAAAAAACCAGGGCTGGGGGTTTCTCTCGACCCCCGCCCGGCGGTCCTCACTCTTCTCAGTCGCATTCTGCTGCGCACACTCATGTGGTCCACGAAGCATCAGTAGTTTGCATCCCAAGGGCTGAGAACATTACAGATGACCCCCGAGGATGAGGAGGGCAGGAGCGCGCAGGGGGAAGAGGCACGGGCCGTCTGGACCCCGACCCTTGCCACTCTCCGCAGCCTCGTCTCGCAGAGCTGTCCGGGAAGAGCGTGAGGGAGGGACACTGCCTCCGTCGTGGGCCAGGCAGCACACGGTCCCCAGGGGTCCCGGCCCCATGACCAACAGGAGTCCTGGCGGTGGGATTCGGGGCAAGTTCTGCCAGAATGGACTCCGGGACCTCAATTTTAAATCAAGAGATCACAGTACCTAGGAGAACTACCAAACTTTTATAAAATTTACTACTGAGAAGGTAAACATTTATAACCATTCAAATATGGAGCAGAGGCTTCTGTTCTTACCCCTTCAAAACACCGTCCCTGTTTGCTAAGTCTCTTCATTCACAAATCCCCAAAGTGGGCTCCCCTGGGGGTGGGGGCGCAGGGGGTGGGGGGGCAGTCCGCCCGCAGCCCCCTCGCTGAGATCACCACCTCGCAGGCAGAGGATTCGCACACAGCTCCCAAGTACACTGCCCCGGCCCCACAACCTAACGCCAAGTCTGCAATTCAAGCAAAGGTAAACTGGCCCAATCCAGCCAGGGTCCCAAAGATGAGCCACGTAGAGTGTCACAAATACGAGTAAACTCTTTTTAGAAACTTCTGGAAACAGCATGATGGATCCCCAGAGCCAGCAGCACAAAATTTCACTCACAAAAGGAAAGTGACCAGATGCAATGCCCCAGGCAGTGAGAAAAATCCACGGACCTGGGGTCACCGTCGGCCTCCCGCGGCCCCCGTGGCTGGAGGTTCTGTGTACTGCCCGGGATTTGGCAGGTCTGCCTTTTAACAGTTCCTGACAGCAGGTGCATCCCCTAGTTCTGGAACTCTCCGTCCTGTGCCCTCTAAGCTCCTGCCTGAATCAGGAGGCCTCTCGGCTCTGAGCAGCCGGTCTGCTCGCCTGCTCGCACGGCGACCACCCATCTCCCGTCTCATTTTAACTCTTCCATAAACCAAACACCAGCTTCTTCACGTGTCAACAATGTGGATCTTATTATCTACAATTACTAAAGTATTCAACAATTTTGATATTGAAAAAAACCTTAATCTCATAAAAGCTTAAACAAACCAAGCCGATTTTTAAAACTGCCTTTAGTACTCTTTTACAAGAAATAAATTTAGGTTTTACTCAAAATTTGTTAGAAAACGGCTTTCATCTAAGTCTGTAAATTTTCTGAGACGTTAACTTCTTGGGTTTTTTTGTAACAGAGAACAAAGGTGACAGGTGAAGGAGACCCCAGGGTGGCCCACCCCCCGGTGCCACGGGAGGGCCGGGCTCCGCGCTCTCGTTCCTCCTCCGTGAGCAGTAACACGCTTCACAGCAAGGCAAGGTCGGTGTTTGACCCAGCAGGTGCCAGGGGGAGGAATTCTGAGGCGGCTCCATGCCGGGCTTGAACCCACAACTCTGAGGTCAAGAGCTGAACGTCCAGCCCCCCAGATGCCCCTAAAGTAACCTTTATTCCACAGTGACCCCTCCATGCACCCCGAGTACACTGGCTTCCATGTCACGTCGGGATGGCCTTTCTCAGGACTCCCAAGCCACAGGCTCTGCTCTCCCGGGCTCACCCGTGAGCAGCTCTGCTCCCCGACCCCACTCACGCCCTCCACGGGGCTCCCCTGACAGCTCTGAGCCGGGGCCGCAGAGCCTGCCACGGTCGTGCACCCCACGGGGTCTCCAGGAGACCTCCAGCTCACGCTCACACCCACGGCACCTCCCGGAACCTTCTCCTCCTGCCGAAGCTGGAAAGAGAGCACTCCACCCCCTCCCACCTGCTCAGGAACCATCAGCAGTGGGCTCGACCCCACAGTCCTCCAGGGCCACCAGGTCACCAGCACTTGCCACTCACTTCTCTCCCTACCCCTTCCTGTGAGTTAGGGCGGCCGTGTCCACCACACTGCTTCTAGATGGGAACATTCCTAAGCCAGGACGGGGCTGCTTTCCTGATTCCACCTCCTCTGTACCCGAGGTCCTCACCCACCGCCCCAATCCCCCTGCCACCCCTTCCGCTGTCCTGCCCTCCTCTCTTTCTCTTCCCCCGAGAGATTCCTGGGTCTACAGGCAGGAAGGACACAACTATGGTGGGTAAAGTTTCTGTTTCTCCCCTACTTTAAAAGCCAGACCTCTTATATCGCAATCTCTGAACACACACAGACCTACACGCACATACCAAAGTACTCTTAAACCTAGAGCCAATGTGGTTTTGTTCTATGTGGCAATCAAAGCGATGCTCCTGCAACTCAGCGCCTCTTTGTAGGAAGAACCACCTTCCCATACCTCGCTTTAAAACGAACCCCTTAACATTTATGATACCAACCCACAGTTGAATACTCAGAACAAAACCAGGTCCACAGGCACGGCATGCCCCCTATTTGGCCAACATTCACCGAAAAGCACGTGCTTTACGTCAATAGAAGCAAGTGACCCTTGCCATACATACTCCCGGGAACAGCAGAATCAAGCCTCTCTCTCCAGATGCCTCCAGTTGGTGACTAGTCCTTCACACTCCACAGGGCTACCAGGGAAGAGCAAATGGAGCCACAAACCCCAAGATGCTCTAAAAAGTTCCAGACATTACAACACATGAGGCATGATCATTAAGCACACTGTCACTTTACCTTTGTTGGGGGGGTATTTCGGCTTTTTCCCACCACCGACTAAAGCTAAATAGTTGCAGCGAAATAACATTTCAACATGGCCAACTCCTCCTTCCAGAAATTCTGAAATGATATTGAAAAAAAAAGTTAGCATGTATATTTTACAATTCAAATACAGGAAAAAATGGGAAACGTAACACTCAGCATTTGACTTTATCAGCCATCTATACCTGACTACCATCAGCAAGGACACTGCTGGGTGGCCGGGCAAGAGAAAGAGCTGTGGGCTTGCACTTCCCTTAGCAGCCCATCCTCATGAGCCGTGTTTCCAGGTATAAATGCGAAGCCCACAGCACCCTAAGAAGCCAATGGACCAGGGCAGCCCGGGTGGCTCAGCGGTTTAGCGCCGCCTGCACCCCGGGGTGTGATCCTGTAGTCCCGGGATCAAGTACCGCGTCGGGCTCCCTGCATGGAGCCTGCTTCTCCCTCTGCCTGTGTCTCTGCCTCTCTGTCTCTCTCATAAATAAATAAATAAATTATTTTTTAAAAAATGCTTCAATGTAAAAGTGGGGTTTATAACTTTTTTTTTTTTTTAGTTTATCATTTAAAACACCTTTCACTGGTCTGAAATGCTCAAAAAGTATTCATGAATTACGTTAAGAAGAAAACATCGGCAGATTTTCAGATGTCCTCCACGACAAAAGGAAGACCAACAACCCTTGCTCAGGGAAGGCAACAGGAACCTGGTGAGAAGTTTAGGGTTCAGAGAGACAAACCCCACTCTGGAAGGTTTCTGTGGCAGAGGAGGACCAGCCCACCCTGCTCTCCCCAGCTCTGGGGAGAAATGACCAGAGCTCCTGGCACAGGGAGGGCACGGCAAAGGGCAAGAGAGGAAGCAAAACCTCTGAAAGTCAGAAATTAACAGATCAGTCACGATTATTCGAGATGATTCCAAAGTTCATCAGCTCACTCAGTGAGAAATGCAAAATTCACGGCCTAGTAGAAACGCTAGAAAGGACTGATAATCCACTTGACCCTGAGTGACACGGGAGTGAACTGCACAGGTCAAATTATATGCAGATTTTTTTTGAATAAACACAGTTTGATACTGTAAATGTGTTTTCTCTTATGATTTTAATACTGTTTCCTTCTCCTGAGCTTACTTCATTGTATGAATATGGTATATAATACGTATAAAAAACAAAACACATGTTAACTGACTGCTACTGATAAAAAGCTTCTGGTCGACAGTATACCATAAGCAGTTAAGTTTTGGGGGACCCAAAAGTCATACATGGGGGCGCCTGGGGGGCTCAGTAGTTGGGCATCTGGCTTCGGCTCAGGTCATGATCTTGGGGTCCTGGGATCAAGTCCCATGTCAGGCTCCCTGCTTAGCAGAGTCTGCTTCTCTGGCTCCATCTCTCCCGCCCCCTGCTCATGCATGTGCTCTCTCTCCAGCTCTCTCTCTCTCAGAAATAAATCTTTAAAAAAAAAAAAAAAAAGTCACACATGGATTTTCTTTCTTTTTTTTTTTTTTAAAGATTTTATTTAGGGATCCCTGGGTGGCGCAGCAGTTTGGCGCCTGCCTTTGGCCCGGGGCGCGATCCTGGAGACCCGGGATCGAATCCCACATCGGGCTCCCGGTGCATGGAGCCTGCTTCTCCCTCTGCCTGTGTTTCTGCCTCTCTCTCTCTCACTGTGTGCCTGTCATAAATAAAGTAAAAAAAAAAAATAAAAATAAATAAAGATTTTATTTATTTATCTCTGAGAATACACAGAGAGGAGAGAGAAACAGAGACACAAGCAGAGGGAGAAGCAGGCGCCATGCAAGGAGCCTGACGTGGGACTCGATTCCGGGTCTCCAGGATCAGGCCCTGGGCCGAAGGCAGCGCTAAACTGCTTGAGCCACCCGGGCTCCCCCATACATGGATTTTCGACTGTAGAGTGGGGAGAGCGGAGTATGACTGCCCCTAATTCCTGTGTTGTTCGGGATCAACAATAATATCTTTATTTATTTTTTTTTGAAATTTTATTTATTTATGATAGTCACACACAGAGAGAGAGAGGCAGAGACACAGGCAGAGGGAGAAGCAGGCTCCATGCACCGGGAGCCCGATGTGGGATTCGATCCTGGGTCTCCAGGAAAGCGCCCTGGGCCAAAGGCAGGCGCCAAACCGCTGCGCCACCCAGGGATCCCAACAATAATATCTTTATGCAAACATCTAGTAACTTCCAATTTTTTCTCTCAGATAAAATCCTTTGGGTATAATTGATGAATCCAACAGTACGTGTGTCTGTAGTGAAACACATTTTGCCAAATCACCCTACAAAAAGATTCTACCAACTTGAACTGTACCACTGAGGCCACGAAACACGGGGTGCCCGGGGACTCAACGCTGGAGTGGCCGCCTTGGGCCCAGGTCGTGACCCCGGGGCCCGGGACGAGTCCCGCATCGGGCTCCGTGCAGGGAACCTGCCTCTCCCTCTGCCTGGGTCCCTGACTCTGTCTCTCATAAATAAATAAAATCTTTAAAAAATTAAAAATAAAAAAGGCCGTGAAACAGGCCATGCCATGGTCTGCTTCTCTGCAGCCTCCGCACGGCTGCACGCTGACGCGCTACCGCCACCCTTCACGACAGCTCACGCCCCACCCCCACCCCACCAGGCTTCTCTCACGCCCACCCCCACCAGAAGCAGGCTTCTCTCATCGCTCTCTGGTCCCTTCATCTCGGACACGCCGGGTGAGCGCACGAGCACGAAGTCCAGGTGAACCTCTGGGACGTCAGACAAATGAGGCTTAAGGCCCCAGCACATGGTCACCTCAGGTAGGCTGCTGGACTGGATGACGTCAGGAATTGTGCACGACAGGTCACCTCTTATTTCTAGATACTTGGGTGTGTCACCAAGGACCCTGCCCATCTTATTCGTCACTGTCCTCTGCCCCAGGGCAGCACTCGACATGGGAAGGCACAGGAACGCGGGCTCAGGAACAGGCGGGCCTCACCTGCGCACCGCCTGTCACATGCTGTGCTTTCTAGCGGTGTCCTCGCTACTTCCCCACATATGGCTGCCAACAGCCCATGGTGAGCACGGGTCACATGGAGGGACAAGTGAGGGACTCCGAAAACGGGAGCCCCTCCGAACCCCTCTGCCCGCCTTGCAGGCTGTGTACGCTGAGCGTAGGCTACGCAGGCTCTAATCACCTGTGCACCACAAAAGAGCTGTTTCTAAATGAAAAAGTGAAATTAACTTTTAACGAGTACTCCTTATTGGGGATCCCTGGGTGGCTCAGCGGTTCAGCGCCTGCCTTTGGCCCAGGGCGTGATCCTGTAGTCCCGGGATCGAGTCCCACGTCGGGCTCCCTGCATGGAGCCTGCTTCTCCCTCTGCCTGTGTCTCTGCCTTGCTGTCTCTCTAACATGAATGAATAAATGAAATCTTTAAAAAAAAAAAAAAAAAAATACTCCTTAACTTCTATAATCACTGGGTATTATTCTATCCAAATGCATCATTCCTGAACCTTCCGTCTTGTGTATGCTCAGATGTGAATCCGAGTCCTACACTCGGGGCCCACAGCATCACCGTGAACACCAGGCAGTCCTCCCTGGGCCTCCACGGCTTTCCTGGAGCGGAGCAGAGCTGCAACCGCTTCAGGTGTGAATAAGACCCAGGACCCTCAATGCTTAGGAGGGTCCAACAGCTCCAACAGCTCCCAGTCCCTGCCAGCGGCGGGCACAACTGCAAGAGGCAGTTCACGGCCAATCACATCTACTCAGTGCCACAGTCACACTGGAGATAACAGGGCCGACAGCCCAGATCTGGGGGTGACTGCTGAAATGCAGGCACACTTCCTTCCTCCTCATTTAGGAAACACAAAGCGCCGAGATAAAACAGGAACAAGGTCCAGGTCCAGCCTGTTTTGCGTCTAGTTGTAACTTGCCAGAAATGTAACAGCAGACCAAGTACAGTGCATAGGCATGGACTTCTCCAAATACACCATCAAAAAGCACAGCGTGGCCCCACCAGGATCCTTTTCAAACTCACTCCAAGCTAAGCTGAGGGAAAGCCTGCTCCAGACACAGACACAGTTCAGCTGAGCAGCAGGAGGACAGTACTTGCCCTCAGGGTGACAATGGCAAACCTTTCTGGAACTCTTTTTTTTTTTTTTATGATTTTTTAAATTTATTCATGAGAAAGGCAGAGACACAGGCAGAGGGAGAAGCAGGCTCCATGCACCGGGAGCCCGACGTGGGACTCCATCCCGGGTCTCCAGCATCACGCCCTGGGCTGAAGGTGGCGCTAAACCGCTGAGCCACCTGGGCTGCCCTGGAACTCAGACTTTTAAAGCTTCTTAACTAATATATTTTCAGAAAAAATCCTGAATTTGTTAGAAACATTTCAGTAATTAGGAAATAGCTGTCAATATACTGCTAATGATTCAACCTAAAACTAAGCCTGTAACTCCTAAACTTCTAGAGCACTTTAAGTAAAAAGTATCCTGGAATTTACAAGTCAAATTGTTTCAAAGTATTTTGTAACTATTTATCTATATAAAGCAGAGTTGTCTTAATTCACTAAGCAACCAAAAAATGAAAGTCAGATACTTAGAAGACTGATAGGAGACTCCCACCATGACCCGTGCCCTGTAAGAGTGCAGGGCCGCTGACAGAGCAGGAAGGCACGAGCTTACACAGCACCTAAGAGCGTGCCAGGCACCAATCTACGTGTTTTGAGCATCCTAATTCATTGATCGTCACACTAATCTTGGGAGGTAGACAGTTATCGCCTTCATTTCCCACAAGGCGGGGCCCAGGGGAGGTGAGGAACTGGCCTCCCCAGGTCACACAGCAGCCTGGTGAGGGATAGAGCCAGATTCCGCTCAACACTGTGGGCCTAGAACCTGAGCCCTGAACTAGTCCCTGCGCCGTCTTTCTCTGATAATGGAAGTCGTACAGCTGAGCCCACAAAGTCAAGTCCTAGGTGGAAAGCACCACTGTTTTACAAGCCACGGCCACGGCCAGAAAGATTTCTGAAAATCCCTGAAGCTGGATTATTAGTTGTGATAATGAAAGGGGGCTGTTTAGTGGATGCAGTGACTACCTCCTACAGACAAGAGACAGTTCCACTCAGAAAATATAACTTGTGCACTGAATTAAAACGAAAACCACAACTGTAGGAAGAAAAAGGATGTTTCTCATTTTCTTTGATTGATCTGAGATTTGTTCATCTGTTGACAGAGCTTGATTCTCCAATCAAGTAAAGCGTAGGAGACACCAAAAGCTTAAGAAAAATATATTAGGAGAAAAATGAATTGGAAAAATTCTACCTGTAAAATTTACCACTTTTTGCTGTCAAATGGCAAAAAAGTCCACCATTATATTAGTATACAGAAGTCCTGACTCCACCTAAGAAGCTTTTGAAAACTTGTATTCCACAAAAACATAACTTAAAACACTGAAATATGTAAACAGAAGCCACTATAATTTATGGCTACAGGGCAGCCCGGGTGGCTCAGCGGTTGAGCATCTGCCTTCGGCACAGGGCGTGACCCCAGGGTCCTGGGATCAAGTCCTGTATCGGGCTTCCTGCAAGGAGCCTGCTTCTCCCTCTGCCTGTGTCTCTGCCTCTCTGTGTGTGTGTGTGTGTCTCATGAATAAACAAATAAAATATTTAAAAGAAAATTTAAAAACACTTACGGTTACAAATAATATTTTCTAAGCAGTCATTTATCAAGGGTCAAGAGTCCCATATACTCTATTAAACCCATTACTTGAGTTCTCTACGCCCTCCTGTTCAGCAGGGAGAGAGAGAATGGCCCGCAACAACTACACCGTGTTCTCCCACTGCAACCAGCGAGACCTGAAGACGGGGCAAACACACACGACGCTTCAAAGTTCACACCCACCAGAGCAATCAGAGTTGGGCCGTGCCATCTGGACCACCCCTGCACCCCCACCCCGTCCAGGGGGGCAGAGGGCCATGAACCTCCTATTTAATTCTCAAAACCAGCACCCCACCCACCCCTCCGCTCTGCCAAACATGAGATAAAATGCAGATTCTCTGAGGGCTGCAAAAAGGGAGAGACCATGAAATGTCACCTACTCTTACCTTGTTTCTCTTTTTCTTTAAGCGGATCGGTGTTATAGACTCGGAATCCGTTTTCCATCCCACATGCAAAGCATCCTAAAGTGAGGGAGAGACACGTTAATCACTGCAGTGAGATCTCAGCTAAGGACCCCAGGCCCGAAATGTCAAAAACAAGGGGACTGGAGAAAGCTGCCTTTCCTAAGCCCCTTGCAGATGCTCTGACCACACGGACGTGGTCTGCTCTCGCCACAACTAGCCTCCCAGGGCTGCTATCACATGACGTGCATAACCTAGCACAACACTTTCGGTCATCTAACTTGAAAAAGAGCCTTTGGAATCACTCCAGCTTCCTCCTGCAGGGTCGTTCTCTGGCATTGCTGAAGACCAGCTCTGCCCAAACCCTAATTCCAGGAGGGGCTCACCAGCTACCTCCACAAGCCCTTCCGCCGCCACACGCTTCCCTTAACACCTGCCTCCAGCTAACACTCACCACTGGCTTTCCCACTCCGAACATGTCTCTCCAGTGCTGTGTGTCATACACCAAGATCTGGAAAGGCAATGACAGAACAGGAAAGCCCAGGCCTCCCAGAGGACAGCTGCGAGCCAGCAATCCCAGCACGTGTGGACACAGCAAACCGGGGCAGGGGAGGAAAGGGCTGCTGCAGTACGGCCTTTCAGAGGTGGCCTGAGGCCTCCCACGACCTCCTCCCACCTGTCAACAAGCCTAAGCTTTAAATCCGTCACAGTCACACACCAGGTTGTTAATGGTCCAATTAACGTCCACCCACAAGGCCAAGATGGTGAACATGACAAATATACAGCACATTTAGAGGCCTGGGACCTCTCAACCCGCTGGTGGACTGCAAACCACTACCACCGCTCTGGGACACTGTGTGCGCGAGGTACTACAGCGGTCAGCTCCACCCCTACGTGCATATGCCCTGCAGAAGTGACGAGGCACGTTCGTCCAAGGCGTGCATAAGAATGTTCACAGCTGCACTAGTACGTCCTAATAGCCAAAAACTGGGAACCCACCCAAATGCCCCCTCACCCTACAACGGTAGATTGATCTACAATGATCCTCAGCAGTATGGAAAATGTGTCGCAGATGTGATGTTGAAGAAAAGTCAGAAACAAGAACAGAGACAAGCAAAACTAACGCACACCACTGTGAGACGGCGGCGGGGCGGTGACTGGACGGAGCACAGGATGGCCAGGTGGGTTCGGTTCCTTAACCTGACTGCCGCTGGAAGGTGATTTCAGGTTGGCAGACTCGCCAAGCTCAACACTTAGGGCATGTGTGCTGTCAAGAATGGCCTACTCCCATAAAAGGTAGAAGGAAAGGTATCACAAACACCCAAGGTTGGCGACCGCCCTCTAGAGAGGCTCGGCATCATCCTTGCTGTCTTCACCCAACTTTTTCCCACAGAGGAAGCCCCGCCCAAAGCTGGGGACCCCACGGAGCCCTGGGTTAGCCGGAATCACGGCAGCGCTTGCCCCACAGACAGGCACACCTTGTGTCATTCTGCTTCCCAGATCCCTGGCGTCTTCCTAACTGAAGGTTTGGCAGCGCTGCCTCCCCTACGTCTATCAGCACCCTCGCCCACAGCAGCTGCTCGCTCAGGTCTCTGTGTCGCGTTCTGGTAACTCTAGTAAGATGGCAAACTTTTCCGTTATTAGCTCTGTTACGATGACTGGTGATCAGTGATTACGATGGAGACGCAGATGATGGCTAGTATTCTTCTAGCGATGAAATAGTTTTAAGACCCTACCTGCTCATCTGACAGAGGGAGAGACAGAGCACAGCAGGGGGAGCAGCAGGGAGAGGGAGGGAGGAGCAGGCTCCCCGAGCAGGGCGCCCGATGCAGGGCTCGATCCCAGGACCCTGAGACCATGACCTGAGCCCAAGGCAGGTGCTCAACTGGCTGAGCCACCAGGTGCGCCAGCAATGAAGTATTTTTAATTAAGTTATGTGCAGGGGTTGGGTCACCCAGCATCTGCAACCCCCAGCATCTGCCTTCAGCTCAGATCATGATCCTGGCATCCCAGTATCAGGGTCCTGGGATAGAGCCAGAGCCCCAGCCCCACATCGAGTCAAGCTTCTTGCTCAGGGGGGATCGGCTTCTCCCTCTCCTTCTGCCGCTCCCCCTGCTTGTGATCTCTCCTTCAAACAAATAAAATCTTTCTTATTTTTAAAGATTTATTCATCCGTGAGAGACACGGAGAGGCAGAGACACAGGCAGAGGAAGAAGCAGGCTCCATGCAGGCTCCCTCCAATGTGGGACTCGATCCTGGGACCCCAGGGTCACGCCCTGAACCAAAGGCAGATGCTCCACCACTGAGCCCCCCAGGTGTCCCAAATAAATAAAATCTTTAAAAACTAAGGTATAGGGATCCCTGGGTGGTGCAGCGGTTTGGCGCCTGCCTTTGGCCTAGGGCACGATCCTGGAGACCCGGGATCGAGTCCCACGTCGGGCTCCCGGTGCATGGAGCCTGCTTCTCCCTCTGCCTGTGTCTCTGCCTCTATCTCTCTCTCTCTGTGGCTATCATAAGTAAATAAAAAAAAAAAAACTAAGGTATATATACATTTTTCTTTTACTTTTTTAAGATTTTATTTATTTATCCATGAGAGACACAGAGAGAGAGAGAGGCAGAGACACAGGCAGAGGGAGAAGCAGGCTCCCTGCAGGGAGCCAGACGTGGGACCCGATCCCAGGTCTCCAGGATCCCGCCCTGGGCTGAAGGCGGTGCTAAACCGCTGAGCCACCCGGGCTGCCCTACATTTTTCTCTACACGTAATGCCACTGCCCACTTAACAGACTATGGCATAGTGTAAACGTAACTTGTACATGCACTGGGAAATCAAGATATTCATCTGACTTTCCTGTGATAGCCCCTTACTGCAGTGGTCTGGAAGCAAACCTGCAGTATCTCTGAGGTGTGCCTGTCGGGCTCCTCACATAGAGCCCACATGCAAATACACCACGAGTACAGCACCCCCTGCCCCAGCCCCCACCGCCCCCTCCCAGGAACTACAGTGAAGCAGGCCAAGGATAGCAATCCGTGGCCTCAGGTCTTGATCCAGGGACGATAAGCAAGTATATGGAGAAAGGGTACACACTCAAATTTGAGTTTCCCAAGGGACTAGAAAGAACATTGGGAGCCAAATTATAGAAATGTACGTGTCAATACTTATGAGAGTCTTGAAGACCATCACGCAAATTTTCTCTAGAAGATAAAAGTTTAAATGTTAAAAATTATGAGCCAGTTTTTTCAAAAATGAAATCCTGTATGCCTGAAATGAATGTAATGCTATGTGTCAACTATATCCCAACTAAAAAACTCTTAAAAAGCAGTAACTTCAAGCCAAAAGTTGCAATGAGCATTAAAAATGCTGAGTAGAGGGGTGCCTGGGTGGCTCAGTCGGTTAAGCATCTGACTCCTGGTTTCAGCTTAGGTCATGGTCTCAAGGTTATGAGATCAAGCTCCCTGTCCACAGGGATCCCTGCTCAGCAGGGAGTTGGCTTGGGGTTCTCCCTCGCCCGCCCTCTGTGGCCCCCTCCTGGTGTGCACACGCACACACTCTCTCACACACACTTTCTCAAATCTAAAAAATGCGGAGTAGAAATTAAAAGTCGTATGTATAAAAACAAAATAGAATAAATTCAACTGTCTAGCATAAATCGAATAGAGAATTGACCCAAGGGTAACCAGAAGGTTAAGTATAAAAGCATATTTTTTTCCTTCAAAAACATTAACTTTACAATTTGTTACAATGAAAGGAGCTAGGCTTACAGAAAGGTATTTTTCAGACCATGGAAATATAGCCTTTTAAGAGCCACAGCTGTATTTTATTTATTTTCTGAGAGAGAAGGAGAATTCCAAGCAGGCCTCAGTGGATCTCACGACCCAAGACCCCTACATGAGCCCAAGCCAAGAGTCACAGGCCGGACCGACCAAGCCGCCCAGGCGCCCCACACAGCTGTATTTTAAAAACAACCTTTGATGAACCTTTGTAGAAATACTGTAAACTTCACTGGTTTCTTAATCCACATCATTACAAGCCTTCAGTACTATACTGAAATTTAATTTGAAGATTCCCCCTCAGGATCAAGGCAGGTCTAAGAATGATTGTCTTGCATTCAATGACTTCAAGTCACTGAACTTTTTTTTTTTTTTTTAGATTTTATTTATTTATTCCTGAGAGAGGGAGAGACGCAGGCAGAGGGAGAAGCAGGCTCCCTGCGGGGAGCCCGACGCGGGACTCGATCCCGGGTCCCCGGGGTCACGCCTGAGCTGGAGGCAGACGCTCCACCCACCCGAGCCCCCCCCCCCCCGGGGGCCCAGGTGTTCACTTTTGTAAACACAAAAGGTACCACCAGCTTTTATAGTCACTTCTCTCCTTTGCTACTTGGCTGCCGTCTCTTTCCCTTTCTTTTTTTTTTTAAGATGTCATTCATCCACGAGAGGTGTGGGGCGGAGGCAGAGGCAGACTCCCCACCGAGCAGGGCGCCAGGTGCCTGACTCAATCCCAGGGCCGTGGGGTCGTGCCCTGAGCTGGAGCTGGAGGCAGACACTTGACCGACTGGGCCCCCGGCCCCTGCACACCTACTTTTTAGGGATCTGTTCCGCCGCCGCCGTGGACTCCCTGAAGGGATCTCTTACTGCGCGGCCCTTACAGGACCCACCGGGCCTCCTCTGCGGATCAGACCCCGACGCGTGCAGCCACGTCACTGCCCGACGGCCGGCATCTGGCCCCAACCCCTACTGCCCTGGTAAGGACGAGTCCCCGCGGTCCCCGCGGTCCCCGCGGCCCGCCCCGGCCCCGCCAGAACTGCCGACGTGGTGCGGTGAGGTCCGCCCCGCCCCGCCCCGCCCGCCCGCCCGCCCGCCACCTCCCCACCCCCAGCCCCGCGCGGCCCCGCGATCAGCGCCCGGAGGCAGGTCTGGCCGCCCCCGCAGCAGCCCGCGACGCCGTTCGCCGTCAGCTCCGCAAACGCCCCGCGGGCCTTCCGCGTACATCGCCCGGGGAGCTCGGCGGCTGCGAGCCCTTCCCCGAGGAGCCCTCGACGGGGCGGCCCTTGGCGCCGCCGACTCCGCGGAGCGAGAGAAGCAACGCAGGCGGGCTCGGGGCGCTCAGGACGCCGCCAGCGCCGGGGCTACCGCGGCCGGGCCGCCTCGGGCCGTGTCCGACGCGGTGGAGCCGAGCCCGCGAGAGCGCAGCCTCCCGGCCGACCCGGCACACGCGGCGGGGGGCGAGCCGAGGGCCGGGCTGCCCCCGAGGGTGCGGCTCCCGGAAGGAGCGCGGGCCCGCCCGGGGTGGGGGCGGCGCCGGGGGGCCGGGAGGAGGGACGGCCGGGTCGGGGGCGTCGGGGGAGGGGGTGTCTGGGTCGGGGGCGTCCGAGGAGCTGCCGGAGCGGTTCGGGGGCGTCGGGGGCGGGCCCGGCCGGGGTCGGGGGAGGACTCGGGTCGGGTCGGGTCGGGGGGGCGTCGGGGGAGGACTCGGGCCGGGGTCGGGGGCGTCCGGGTCGGGTTGGGGGCGGGCCCGGCCGGGGTCGGGGGCGCCCGGGGTGCGGCCGGGTCGGGTCGGGGGCGTCGGGGGAGGACTCGGGTCGGGTCGGGGGCGTCGGGGGAGGACTCGGGTCGGGTCGGGGTGGTCGGGGGAGGGGCCGGTCGGGGGAGGACTCCGGTCGGGTCGGGGGGCGTCGGGGGAGGACTCGGGCCGGGGTCGGGGGGCGTCGGGGGAGGACTCGGGTCGGGTCGGGGGCGTCGGGGGAGGACTCGGGCCGGGGTCGGGGGGCGTCGGGGGAGGACTCGGGTCGGGTCGGGGGCGTCGGGGGAGGACTCGGGCCGGGGTCGGGGGGCGTCGGGGGAGGACTCGGGTCGGGTCGGGGGCGTCGGGGGAGGACTCGGGCCGGGGTCGGGGGCGTCGGGGGAGGACTCGGGTCGGGTCGGGGGCGTCGGGGGAGGACTCGGGCCGGGTCGGGCGTCGGGGGAGGACTCGGGCCGGGGTCGGGGGCGTCGGGGGAGGACTCGGGTCGGGTCGGGGGGCGTCGGGGGAGGACTCGGGCGGGTCGGGGGAGGACTCGGCGGGTCGGGGCGTCGGGGAGGACTCGGGCGGGTCGGGGGCGTCGGGGAGGACTCGGGCCGGGGTCGGGGGAGGACTCGGGCCGGGGTCGGGGGCGTCGGGGGACTCGGGCGGGTCGGGGGGATCGGGGTCGGGGGCGTCGGGGGAGGACTCGGGCCGGGGTCGGGGGAGGACTCGGGCCGGGGTCGGGGGCGTCGGGGGAGGACTCGGGCCGGGGTCGGGGGCGTCCGGGGAGCGGCCGGGTCGGGGTCCGGGGCGTCGGGGGCGGGCCCGGCCGGGGTCGGGGGGCACCGAGGGAGCGGCCGGGCCGGGCGGGGGCTGAGGCTCCGGAAGAGCCCGGGTCGGGGCTCGGGCGCGCGCAGGGGCGCCCTCACCGTGGTCCTGGTTGAAGCCGGCGTAGAGCAGCCCGTTGCCGTGCGGGTTACACGGCAGGAGGTTCATGGCGCCGCCGCGGAGGGTCCGCCGCCCCTCAGCGCCGCATGCCCTCGGGGAGGCCGGGCGCCCGGTCCCGTCTGTCCGGCGGAGGCCGCCGCGCCGGAAGCGAGGGGCGGACGTGCGTGCGCGCGCAGCCAGGAAGCCGCGGAGCGCCGAGCGCATCCACCTGGGCCCGGCCAGGGCGGCGGGGGAGCGCCGAGAATGTCACGTGCGCGGGGCGGGGCCTGCGCGGAGGGGCGGGGCCTGGGGCGGCGGGGGGGGGGGTCCCGAGGGCAGCCCACGCGGGACGGCGGTGCGGCTCCCAGCGGCGCCCGCGCCCCACCGCGCCCCTCGCGAGCAGCCGGGCCCAGAGCCCCAAACGCAGGGAGAGGCTCCTCCCCGGGAACTTGTAAATTAAGTGTAAGAGACTAATTATTGGTTGAAAACAGTGAAAATGATAACAATACAGGGCAGCCCGGGTGGCGCAGCGGTTCAGCGCCGCCTGCAGCCCAGGGCGTGACCCCGGGGTCCCGGGATCGAGTCCCGCGTCGGGCTCCCGGTGCATGGAGCCTGCTGCTCCCTCTGCCTGTGTCTCTGCCTCTCTCTCTTTCTCTCTCTGGGTCTCTTATGGGTGAATAAACAAAACTTTAAAAATAACGATAATACATTATACAGTTTTGCGATAAACAGCAGTAAAACGTACCCAAAGATAGAGACGGGGGGGGGGGGGAGTGGAAGTAGGTGGAAGATAGAGGCCCCTACAGAAACCCCGCGGACCGAGCCCCTGGCCACAGCCCCTCCCGGAGCACAGACGCCCCTCAAGGGACCCTGTGGGCCTGCAGGGAGCAGGGGACCCTCCGCTGCCCCCACGGTCAGTGCCTCATTCCCTGGGAGTGGGGCCTGTCATTAGGGCCCCGGGCAGGGTCTCACTCACCTCGCTCGGCCCGGCCCGCAGCCCCAGACTCAACCCTGCTGCCAGAGGCCGCCCGGCTGGCTGTGGCTGCTCCAGGCAGGCACTCGCAGAGACCCTGCCCTTCCCTTGGGCTGGGGCCCCCTGCGGTCCACACCTCCCTCCGTGTCCTTCTGTGACCGGCAGCAGGCGGCTGGGCAGGGGGCTGGTGGCCGTGCCCCTCACCGCAGCCTCTGTGACTTAACCCCGGGCGCTCAAAGCTGTACCTCCCTCTGGCATAGGTTGAATGGTGGCCCCCAGACACACTCCCGCCCAGAACCTGTAACTGTGACCCTGTTTGGAGATTCTTTGCAGGTGTAATTAAGGATCCCAAGATGAGATCACCCTGGATTTAGGGTGGGCCTGAAGTCCATGACGAGTGTTGTCCTTGGTGGAGAAGAAAAGGCGAGATGGTAGAGGGGATGGCCACCTGAGGGGAAGGCTGACGCTGCTGCCCTGCAGCCACAGCCAGCACATGCTGAGCACGGCCGTCGCCCCCAGGAGCTGGAGGGGGTTCCCCTCGGGGCCCCCAGGCTGTGGGGACACGGGTGTCCCTTGTTGAGCCATCTGCTTGCGGCAACCCCAGGACACCAGCACGGCCCACTGGTAGCTCACAAGCCTTCAGGCCAAGATGGGAGCAGCGGCTCGAAATGAGGGCCAGGCTCCTCACTGACTCCCTCTCCTAATGGGGCGGGGGAACGTTCTTACCTCTGGGACGCACACCGGGGCTGGACGGAGATGGAGGACATAGGGAAGAGGTGTGTTGCTTCCCAAAGCCCAGCTCTCTGTCTCTGGGAGGAAAATGACATCTAATGTTTTAACAACACAGGCCACAGAAATGCTTCACGGAGCCTCAGGATACCCTGTGTGTCCCTGTGAGCCGAGGAGGGTCTCCATGGTGGGGGGGAGGGTACTCTGCGAGGTGTCTGGGGCTATGATGGGTTATCAAGGGTTTTCCAAAATGGGTGGAAATGCTGCGCAAAGCCGCCTGTGGGGAAGCAAGCGCGTGCCACCCACAGCACGCGGTGGTGCAGGGGCACGAATGGGACCGACTGAGCCACTAGTGTCTGGGTGATGAGTCTCCAAACAACGTTGAGCATCAGACCCAGGTTGCAGAAGCGCACCTCTGGTGTGAAGCGGTTTACACGAAGCTCAAAACGGCGAACGGGGCACGGCTGTTCGGGGGCAGGTATGCACGGGGATGGTCGCAGAAAGAGGGCAAAGGGTGTGGTGTACACAGAATCGGGGATGGCGGCGCTCCTGGGGGCAAGACCCGGATCGGCCGCAGCCGGGGGCACATGCGGTCGGCTGAGTGATGACGATGTCCGCATCCCCACCCCTGTACCCTGTAAATGTGGCTCCTTCCGGGGCAGAAGAGACTGTCCTGGATTGTCCAGGTGGGCCCTGAAGGTAACGACATTTTAAGGAGTGTCACGGTCACCGCAGAGGCAGAGATTGGGGACAGCCAGGAGCCAGGGAGCTGGAGCAGCCCTGAACTGTCCCCAGGAGCTTCCAGAAGGAACCAGGCCTGGCTGGCGGGCAGCACAGGTGCCTCAGCAGAGCAGCCGTGGGAGACACGCAGCGTGCGGACGGCTTCGGAGGCAAGGTTCTAAGGCGGCTTCACATGATTTATCTCGCGAGTAAAATGGTTAGAGAGCCTCCCAAAAAGCCGCCACGCATCATCCCCATTTCGGAAGCGGAGTGTGAAGCAGTGGCCCAATTTCGGGGCGGCATCAAGCCCGCAGAGCACGCGGCGGGCGGCCCCGTGAGGCGCTCCCCACAGAGTCGGAGCGGGAAGGCTGCCCGAGAGGCTGGCACTCGGGCCCACACCCACGCCTGACCGCGGCCCCGGAGGGGAGAGCCCGTGGGCCGGGAAGCGGGCAGTGCCCGGGTCGGCCCGTCCTGCGCCGATGCCACCTTGACCTGGGCCCGTTCTCCCACCTTCCAAACACGCGCTCGTCCACAGGCTGCTCATAATCGCCCGGGGTCTGGGGAGCTGAGGGCGCCCCTGCTCCCGGGCTCGGCTCCCTTCCCGCCTTCCCCCTCCTGCCCCAGACACTCGGGTGGCGCGCCGGGCCGCTGCTCGGGTGGGATGGGGCGGGAGGGAGCCGCAGCGAGGAGCACGGTGGGAAGCCGGCCTCGCACGCTCAGCTCAGCGGCCCAGCAGAGCGGGAGCGCCTGAGCAGACCCAGCAGACCCCGCCGCGGGTCGGGCCCCGGAGGAGGGTCGGGGGCGAGGACGCGAGCCCTGCCTAGGACGCGGCTCAGCCCCCGCTCCAGCCGCCCTGGTGCCACCGCGGGTCCGTCCCTGGCAGCCGTGTGCCGCCGTCCCCACCATGTCCCTCCATCTGGCCAACAGCCTCCGGTAGCTCAGGGCAGCGAGCACACCCCCGGCCGGGCGCCAGCCCTCCTGGCTGGGCCCTCCTGTGTCTGCCTCCTGTGTCTGTCCATCTGTCTGTCCATGGGGATCTCCTGCGGCTGGACCGCCTCCCTTGCCCCCCAGCACTTGCCTCGATGAGGAGGCTCTCCGGAGAGGGCAGCTGCTCCACCTGTCACTCCTGGGCAGGCCGATGCCACGGAGCCTCACGTGACCCTTTCCCCCGGGTCAGCGTCCGCTTGCGCAGCCCCTCACCGACCTGAGTTCTCTGTCCCGGAGGCTGCTGCGTGGGGCCGTGACCTTCACAGGGCGACGGAAGATGCACTTGTCCGTGATGTTTTGAATCTAGATGCTTAAAAAGAGAATTACAAACATCTGGGGCACAATCAGATATTCCTGATTCCACTCTGGGTGGGTTTGCCAGCGGGGTGGGCCGGGGAAGACACAGTGTGGGGGGTGGTTTTTCCAGGGTTCACTTTACATATTTCAGTACATTCACCACCAAAACACGCTCGCTTTACTTCCATACCTTCCGTTTGCTAAGAGCACTTTATACTGTGAAGTATGACTTGCAGGAGCATCCTCGGGCCATCCTGGGGCCATCCCGGGCCATCTTGGGGCCATCCTGGCCCATCCCGGGCCATCCTCAGGCCATCCCGGGGCCATCCTGGGGCCATCCTTGGGGCCATCCTGGCCCATCCTGGGCCATCCCGGGGCCATCCTCAGGCCATCCCAGGGCCATCCCGGGGCCATCCTCAGGCCATCCGGGGCCATCCTGGGGCCATCCTCTGGGCCATCCTGTGGGCCATCCTGGACCATCCTGGGGCCATCCTCTGGGCCATCCCGGACTATCCCAGGGCCTTCCTGGGGCCATCCTTGGAGCCATCCCGGGGCCATCCTTGGGGCCATCCCGGGGCCATCCTTGGGGCCATCCTGGGGCCATCCTTGGGGCCATCCCGGGGCCATTCTCAGGGCCATCCCGGGGCCATCCTCAGGCCATCCTCGGGCCATCCTCAGGGCTATCCCAGGGCCATCCCAGGGCCATCCTGGACCATCCCAGGGCCATCCTGGACCATCCCAGGGCCATCCTCGGGCCATCCCACAGCCATCCCGGGGCCATCCTCGGGGCCATCCTCAGGGCTATCCTGGGGCTATCCCAGGCCATCCCGGGGCCATCCTGGGGCCATCCCGGACCATCCCGGGGCCATCCTGGGCCATCCCGGCCCATCCCAGGGCCATCCCGGGGCCAACCTGGGCCATCTTGGGGCCATCCTGGGCCATCCCGGGGCCACGATTACAAAGTGCCCCACCTTGGGAGTGCCGAGCATGGTAGAAATGTACCCTTATCCCTGGGGGCAGGAGCCTGAGATCCAGGTGTGGGCAGAGCCCTGGAGGCTCCTCACTGGCTCGGCCAGCTTCTGGTGTCCCCCTGGGGACCAGTGTGCTCCAGAAACACCGGAAGAGCTCCAGGTCACAGGGGCTTGGGGAACTATAGGATATTCCTTCTAGAACATTACCAGTCATCTTAAGGAGTGGCCTGGAGCCTGGCCCTAGGCCCTCAGCGGCAACCAGCGCTGGCCGGGCTCATTTCTCCTCTCTGGGCCTCACCTGCCCATCTCCAGATAGAGCTGTTGCTTCCAATTCTCAGGCCCCTTAAATATCTAAAAATCTGTATATTGTGTATAGAAACTGAGAACACCTGGGCATCTTCTCATTGATAGTTTTTCTTTTTTTCTTTTTTCTTTTTTTTTTTTTTTTTTTTTTTGATTCCCTGTAGTAACCTCCCGCTGCTGCAGGGAGATAGGGAGATGTCGGGCAGGTACCCCCAGGAAGCTGAGACCCTGCCCGGGTGATCAGTAATATGATCAGAATCAGAAAGGACCAGCTGAGGGATCCCTGGGTGGCGCAGCAGTTTGGCGCCTGCCTTTGGCTCAGGGCGCGATCCTGGAGACCCGGGATCGAATCCCATATCAGGCTCCCGGTGCATGGAGCCTGCTTCTCCTCTGCCTATGTCTCTGCCTCTCTCTCTCTCTCTCTCTGTGACTATCATAAATAAATAAATTTAAAAAAAATTTAAAAAAAAAAAGAAAGGACCAGCTGACGGCCCTACCAAGAAACAGGTACGCATTTTATTGTCGAGAAACATTTTCTTCACTAACAGGGCGCACTGCATTCCTTACCGAAACGGCCCAAACGGTAGTTTCCTTGCCGATCTGGATGCATTGTGACTACGTGTGGCTGCTCGACGCAACTAGAGATATCTTTGGCATTTTCTTCCCTTAGCTTCATAACCTATGGAACGTCTTGTACAAAAAAATGTAGATTTACAGAAAAATATGCATATAAATCACTTATTGATCCCCAAACATGGTAAATAACATAGCAAAAACTGTATCAAATCCGTGTCAGACCCAAGCTGGACAGAACGGCCGAGCGTGATCTCCGACTCCCACCTCGCCCGTCAACAAGCACGTGGGTGCGAACTGCAGGTTCATAAAGGGCCCTCGTGAGGTCGTTGGGTCGAGGGTCATCTCTCTCTCCCGCTGCTTTCCACAGTCGCTGCACCTCACAGTCACTGCGTGAGCCGCCGCACCCCCAAAGCAGGTCTACGAGGGAGGCCACGCCGGTGTCGTCGAGAGCCAAGCCCCCGGACAAACACGCGTGGCAAACGAGAGCTTCGTGCTCGTCCGCGGAGAAGCATCGGAGTCAAGCTGTGTCCTCAGCGCTCGGAGCGGCTGGGTCGCAGGAGCGATCGGCAGGTGCGTTCCCGGCCCTGGAGCGGGCTCCCGCCACCCTGTCCCTGTCCCTGTCCCTCGCGGGACTGCCCAGCCTCTCCTGGAGGCCCGTCCGTGCTCCTGCTTCAGGAGACCTTACAGCTGTTCCTGGGGCAGCGCTTGGGCGGGCTCTGCGGCGGCCGGGCGGCCTTCACCTTGCGGAGGCCGTTCCTCTTGTGCGTGGAGCTGGCGGTGAGGGAGTAGGAGCGGCCGTGCATCATCCTGGCGTTGAGGCCGCTGGCCATGGAGAAGGATTTGAGGTGGCCCCTCAGGGCCATGGGCAGTGGGAGCTTGTCTACCAGGTGCACAGGTGTGCAGGACACCACCGCTCGGCAGCACAGGTCCTGCAGGCTCAGCACTTGGGGAAGGAAAGGAAACCGAGTTTAGTTCACGTGCCCGACACAGAGTGACGCCAGGGCGGACCCACCACCTCACGGCCTCCCTGCTGCACGCCTCGGGCCAGACTCTCTGCTCGCTGTGCCCGCTCCTGGCCCTCGGGACACGGCCACCGGCCACACGGCCACCGGGCCTCAGTCGCCTTGGACTGGAGACCCGGCTGCCCTCCCTCCAGGCCCCAAGGTGGGCAGACCCGGAGGGGAGACGGCGGCCGCTGAGGTCCTCCCCCAGGACTCGCCTGACCGCGGCGTGGGGTGAGAGATCCAGGGTGTCAGGGGTGACCGCCCTCCCACGTGTGACCAGCTGTACAGGGGCGGGTTTGAGAGCACGCCTTGGAGCCAATGCTTGGCTCTCATCTCCACCATTCCTCGTGGGTCAGGCCCCCCGGGATGGGGATGGGGGGCCTCCTGGCACAGCCGCCACCTCCTAGACCCGAAGGTCAGGCCCGGGGGGCCCAGCAGGAGCTCTCTCGGCACCGTGGCTCTCAGCTGGGGGTGGTTTCGACTCCGCGGGACACTGGGTGTCCATCCACAGCTGGAGGCGAGGTGCACATACTGACGCCCCGGGAAACCTCCCGTCCAAGCTGGAGGCAGGGCTGCGGCCGAGAATCCCTGATTAAAAGAATCGGATTTTGCTCCCTCAACCCCGTGCTGCCCCACTCCACGACTAGATTGTCTTTCCTTCCTGTGACAGCCGCCTGCTGACGGGGGCGTCAGAGGAAATCCGCGGCGGCTGTCCCAGCGGGGTCCCCGCAAGGTGGACGGAGTCGGCACAGGCGTTCGGGTGGATTGACACCGAGGCTCTGAGCAGTTTCCGGCCTCAGGTTAGAGACTGCCAACAGCGCTCGATGCTCCTCTCAAGCTCCCTCCCCTCTTTGCAAACAAAATGAGTTAAAGTGAGTCATTCCCGACGCGGTGCTCTTCCCAGAACCGTGGGCGCAGGGCGCCTGCCCAGCGCCTGTGCACACGCGCCTCTGCCTCTGCACCCACACAGAAATGCCTCTCCTGAACTTTCCGACAGAAACGTTCTAGTGATTTCTCTCAGATTAAATGCATTTACTCCGAGGGTGGATGCGGGTGGGAGGCGGCCCGGGGCGGGAGGAGGTGCCTACCCTTGCTGGGCCTCCAGAGCCGGTCCATCCCGTGCCGCAGCAGCACGGTCCTGGCCAGCTCCGTAAACGACTCCGTGATGTTGAAGTTGCACAGGGGGCTGACCTCGAAGAACGTGACGCCCAGGCGCTCCGCATAGGCCTGGGCCTGCTCCGTGGGGACCTGCCGCTTGAAGGCCAGGTGCAGCCGGTTCCCCACCAGGATTTTAGGGACCCCGGGGGCATGCTGCAGGGCGAGAGAGAGGCAAGCGGGTTACCTGCACCAGATCTGGTGCTGGCTGGCACCGCTGGGCGCACAGGCAAATGCACAGTCCCGGACTCGTGCCCACCCAGAACCGTGGACCGTGTCCTAGCAGAGGCTGCAGGGGGCGGGAAGGACCCTCCCCTGGGGCCTTGGGAGGGAGCCGGCCCTGCCGACGCTGGATTTTGGACTTCTGGCCTCCAAACTGCGAGACAATAGATTCCTGTTGTTTCCGGCAATGTGTGTGGGCAGGCGGCGGGACAGCCGTGCCACGAGGCGGTTCTGACCCCTCCGTGTCCACACTGGCCATCCGGCGGTCCGGGGAGCGTCCGCACTGTGGGCCGGGTGGGTCCCCACATGAGGGCCCATGCTGTTCTGGGAGGTGACTGCCTGCATGCTGCCGGAGCCTCGTGTCTGGGCCACGTACCCGCCCCCCACGCGCCCATGCGGACGGCACCTGCCACACCGGGTCCTACCTCGTCGATCTCCTTGATCCACCGGTCGATGCCGTCAAAGGACCAGCGGTTGGCGATGTCATAGACCAGGATCACACCCTGCAGGGAGAGGCACCGGGCTCACCTGTGGGACAGGCGGGCACAGCTCGGGGCCGCGCCAGCCGGGCAGCAGGCAACTCGGTCACGGGCTCACAACCAGCTCAACTACCAGTTATTTTAACAGAAAACCTATTATTCTTACTTATCTACCAAGTAGAGCAGCTAAATAGTTATTCCTGGTGGTATTTCAGGAGCTCATCAATGAACCCCCAAATGTCCAGGTGAGGTGGGCACGGGCACCGCATCCCCCACATCCAGCAGCCGCTCTAGGGACGCGGCATGTGGGGGACTGCAGGGCCACCCCCTGGACGGAGCGCTCCCCTGAGCGTGCACACGCGCCCACGCACGGCCGCAGGACACGCAGGCACCACCGCGCGCCTCTGGGCTGAAGAAGGGCCTCTTGCAGCCCTTGCACCTGTCCCCAGGCCAGCGCCGCCCTGCCCTCCAGGCGCCCACTAGAGAGCCGCGCGGGGTCATTACACGGTGAGGCCGACCTCCCAGCTCGGGGGTGTTACCTGTGCGCCCCGGGAGTAGGAGCGGAATATGGTACAAAATCTTCCTTGCCCGGAGGTGTCCCTGCAAAAGACGGTGGAGGCCAGTGAGAGGAAATCACGGCTGCCCCGGAGCCGAGCAAACGTGCTGCACGGGGACGCGGGGACGAGGGTGGGCTGCGGCTCCAGGCGTATCCTCAGTATGAACGGCTCCCCCCACCCCCGCCCCGGCAGTGGTGACCCGGGCCTGCCTTCTGAGTCCTCGAGGAACCGAGGGAGGGGGGGCTGGGCCCGGGGTTCTGCAGGGCCCGCACCGGAGGAGCTCCGGGGGTGAGGAGCCATCGAGGGCAAGGAGGCAGGCCTGGGACGCCAACCACTGGCTTTGCAGGGAGACCGGGGCTCTCGCCAGGTGGGAACACCCACCGCACATGAGGGTGAACCCGGGGGGCCGGAGCAGCCGAGGGGGCGCACATGCCGCCGTTGACCGAGAGGGTGGGCCCTGCTAGGACACGCCGCTCACGCGAGACAGGGAGTCTGTAGGAAGGTCTAGTGGGCGCTTGGGGGTGGCGTGCGGGAGGGACGGGCTGAGAGTGGGGCCTGATGGTCTCCCGGGAGAGAGAAGCCCTGGCCCCGCAGGCCTCAGGCCTGGACGGGGGTGGCGGGTGGCGGACACAGCAGGCAGGGGTCGGGCGACAAGAGGCGAGGGCAGGACACCTGGACCTTGTAGACCCACGGCAGCGGGGAGCCCAGAGGACACCAGGCAGGGCTGTACCCACAACCCCGAACATCCTGGGGGACTGGGCAGCAGGAAGGGGCCGGGTGCTGATCCCCCCAGGCAGGGGCACCTGCAGATGGCAGCAGAGGGGCGTCCAGCTCATGGGGCTTGGGCATGTCCAGGCACAGAAAGCCATGCAGGTGGGCAAGGGGCAGGGGTAACATGGGGACAGTCGTCAGGCAGGTTGCAGGGGGTTGGCCAACCCAGTGGTCCGTCAAAGCAGGAAAGCCCGATTCTCCCCCCAACCCGGAGCTGGAGGGGCAGAGGCCGGGGGTGACCCAGACCTCAGAGCCGGGGCTGCCAGGGGGGCGGGGGGTGGAGATAGAGGCCAGTCCAGACCCGGGCGAGGGCGACTTACTCCCAACCTCCTACACCTGCCGAGGTCTGTCCCTGTCACATGCATGGCCCCTCCTGGTACCGGGGAGGCCTGGGTCTGCCGGGACCGGGGGCCTCGACTCACCAGAGCTGCAGCTTCACCCTCCGGCCGTCCAGCAGGATGGTGGTGGTCTTGTAGTCGATGCCTGTGGGGGGGCGGGGCAGCTTAGTGCAGCTGGCCTCGAGGTCACTCTCAAGCCCATGCACCGGAGAAGAGAACCCTCCTGGGGGACAGAAAGGACTTCCCACCCGGCACAGTCAGTTTTCGAGGTGGATCAGTTTTCTTGGGTCTCCTGGACTCGCTCGGCCCTGCCCCCCCGCCCCCTCTGTGGGGCCTCCGGCCTTCCCGTCCCTCGCGGCCCGACCCGCTGCCCGATGCATGCGCAGCACAGCCAGGGGACCGGGTCGGGGACTCTGGTCCAGAACCGATCGGCCCCGGGTGGGGGGGGTGCTGACTCGCCCCTGGCCTCCGTGACCCCACCTCCCGTCCTGGGGCTACTCCCCTAAGCTGCACTCCCAGGCTAAACCCAGATCGCGTCCCCAGGTTATAACGTGTCGTGTGGGAAATGAGATACGAAGAGTTACTGCAACTGTGTAAAGAGAAACCCCACGTGTATTTGTGCGTGTGCGTGCAGGGGGGCGGGGGGGGGGCGGGAGGCGGGCGACACCAAGGAGCAGCCCACGTCCACCCGGAAGTTTCTGGCGTGTGTTTATGTTTGTTTACCCCAATCTTTCCCTGTTGCCAAGTTTCTTCAAGGAGCATGTGTTTTTCTTCTAAAATGAGAAAAAGCAGGATGCCTGGCCCAGGGCGTGATCCTCGACACGCTTCGGCGCCCCCACAAAGCCCCAAGAAAGAACAGCACATCCATGAACCGTCCTGTGTTTCAAGTAGGTTGAGCGCAGGACACGGGGTGGGGGTCTCAGCCTCCGGCCCAGGGCGAGACCCCGGGGTCCCGGGATCGAGTCCTGAGTCCGGCTCCCCACAGGGAGCCTGCTGCTCCCTCTGCCTGTGTCTCTGCCTCTCTCTGTGTCTCTCAGGAATAAATAAATAAAATATTTTTTTAAAATAACAAAGGCTGAGCACATCCCTGGGTGTGCATGGTGGAAGGTGACACGGGGCTGGCTTTGCATCCTGAGGGGGCAGTGCCCAGAGTCGGGGCGGAGCACGGACATCCCGGGCTGGCAGCTTCAGGCTCCGAGAGATGACCCTTTGGAGCGACACCAAGGTCCACAGCCCCTCAAGGTCCCGCCGAGGCATCCGAGGGGCAACCGCCAACGCCCGCCGTCTTGCTTTCGCAGTGTTGGCGCTGTGCACACGTGACGGACGTGCGGCACACATGTAAGCGAGCACGAGGCGCTCGCCTGTCATAGGGTCCGCGCACACGCAGGCATTAAGCAGACCGTGTGCTAAAGAGAGGGTACGGCCGCATGATACACACACAGGAAGCGCCCATCGAACGTGTAGAAGCAGTCAAAAACCCACCCGGAGACCAACTTCAGAGTGAATTTTGGAAATGTTTCCTTCCCGCCCCGGAATGCCCACGGCCGTGCCCCCGCGTGCAGCAGCGAGCAGGCGCCCACGGAGCCGGGCTTTGGCGGGGGGCTCTTGGCGCTCACGGGCTGCAGAGCCGCTCCGTCTTTGACCTGGGAGGTGCACCCACTGTTTGGATTGGGTTGGCTCCTTTGACTCACAAAACGTCCTCATGTACTTATTTTTTAGGTCCACAATAAAAAAAATAAGTTTTCAAAAATTTAAAAGAATTTTAAAGGGTTAGGCTTTTTTCCCCCATTTTGTTTTGTTTTATGTTAAGTAATCTCTCCACCCAACATGGAGCTTGAACTCACCACCCTTAGATCAAGAGTTGCATGCACAACCAACCGAGCCAGCCAGGCCGTCCCAAGCACCCTTGTGTTTTTAAAACTGTTCCTTTTTTTTAAATATTTTATTTATTTATTCATGAGAGACACTGAGAGAGGCAGAGACACAGGCAGAGGGAGGAGCAGGCTCTGTGCAGGGAGCCCGCCACGGGACTCGATCCCGGGTCTCCGGGATCATGCCCTGGGCTGAAGGCGGCGCTAAACCACCGAGCCACCCAGGGATCCCCCTGTGCTTGGTTTTTGGTTACAGCCGTCATAGATGCACATGGGATCAAGTGTCAGAGACTTAACGTGGAAAACGACAGGTCCCGGTCCACAGTCCACCACTTTTCTGTATTTCTTCTGCTATGTATCTCCAAATTTGCAAACAACATACTTGCATTCCTACTTCCTGACTTTTCAGGTTTAGGCGTTAATCCAATTCCCACGGTGGAAGGTGAAGATGTAGGTCTCTTTCATTGACTTACTCCACATACTTCTCTCTCCCTTACACACACACACACACATGCAGTATAGTTATTTGCATTTTAGCTAGATCAATGTCCAATTTTACATCAATATGACCAAGTAAACAGTATCTGTGGCTGGACCACGTGGTATCCTGTGTTCATATGTCCTTCACATACAACTTTTTGTTTTTACTAGAATTATAAATTGCCTTTTTGTTTACTTGCTTAGTTTTCTCTGCATTTAGCACTAATGCATCCCTAAAAGTTCTTCCAGTTTTCTTTAAAAAAAAAAAAAAGATTTTACTTATTCGTGAGAGACACACACACAGAGAGAGGCAGAGACACAGGCAGAGGAAGAAGCAGGCTCCATGCAGGGAGCCCAATGTGGGACTCGATCCCCGGTCTCCAGGATCACATCCTGAGCTGAAGGTAGATGCTTAACCACTGAGCCACCCAGGTGTCCCGCTGGGGTTTTGTTAATAAGATGTTGGGCCGGGATCCCTGGGTGGCGCAGCGGTTTGGCGCCTGCCTTTGGCCCGGGGTGCAATCCTGGAGACCCGGGATCGAATCCCACGTCGGGCTCCCGGTGCATGGAGCCTGCTTCTCCCTCTGCCTGTGTCTCTGCATCTCTCTCTCTCTCTCTGTAACTATCATAAATAAATAAAAAAAAATAAAAAAAAAAATAAAAAAAATAAGATGTTGGGCCTCCTGAACCTACTCCACGATTTTCTTAGTTGTCTCTTATTTTGCTTCTCTCTCTTTTTTTCAACATTCTGGAAAATGGTCTCAATGTTCTCTTTTATCCTTCCTCTGAAATTTTTATTCCTTCCATTACATTTTCAATTTCCAAGATCTTTATTGTTTTTGGATTGCTCCCTTTTGAGGTTCTGCTTCTGGCCATGGCTGCACAGCTCCTACCAGACTGCCTTCTGCAGACAACAACTCTCAATGATAGGACGATATATAGAAACCAGTGACTGACCCTAGAACACCAAAGAGGGACCGGCTTTCACCACTTTCCCCACTTTGGTGTCATATCTTGCAGCAATCATACAGTTCAGGGCTCACCAGGTGGAAGATGAGCCGGGAAGTAAGATAACACAGATGGGGAGAGAGCAGTAGAGCATCCTGAAAGGCTCAGGCACCAGGACCCAGCCTAGCCTCAAAGGAGGCCTGCCCTTCAGCTACCAGGCAGGCCAGGCCATAAACTCCTCTTCACTTAAGCTGCTTGGAGCTGACTTTTTTTTTTTTTTAATTCAAGTTAGTACATACAGCATAGTATTGGTTTCAGAAATAGAATTCAGTGATTCCACAAGTGACTCCACCCAGTGACCCCATCCTCCCACCGCCCCCCCTCTAGCAACCCTCCGTTTGTTCTCTATAGTTAAGAATCTCTTATGGTTTGCCTCTCTCTCTGTTTTTATCTTTTTTTTTTTTCCTTCCCTTCCCTGATGTTTATCTGTTTTGTTTCTTAAATTCCACATGAGTGAGATCATAGGAATTTGTCTTTCTCTGACTTACTCAGTCAGCATAATACCCTTCAGTTCCATCCACGTTGTTGCAAATGACAAGATTTCATTCTTTTGATGGCTGAGTAATACTCCATTGTATACACACCAATCTTCTTTATCCATTCATCTGTGGATGAACATCTGGGCTCTTTCCATAATTTAGCTATTGTTGATAATGCTGCCATAAACATTGGGGTGCGTGTGCCCCTTCAAATAACTATTTTTGTATCTTTTGGGATAAATCCCCAGTAGTGCAATCACTGGGTCGTAGGGTAGCCCTATTTTTTAACTTCCTGAACCTTCCACACTGTTTTCCAGAGCGGCTGCACCAGTTCACGTTCCCACCAACAGGGCAAGAGGGCTCCCCCTTCTCCGCATCCTCGCCAACATCTCTGGTTTCCTGACTTGTTCATTTTTGCCATTCTGACTGCTGTGAGGTGGGATCTCGTTGTGGTTTTGATTTGTACTTCCCCGATGCCGAGTGACGCTGAGCATTTTTTCAAGTGTCCGTTGGCCGTTTGTATGGACGTTTCTTTGGAGAAATATCTGTTCATGTTTTCTGCCCATTTTTAACTGGATTATTTATTTTGGGGTGTTAATTTTGATGAATTCTTTTTTTTAATTTTTTTGAATTATTTATTTATTTATGATAGTCACACAGAGAGAGAGAGAGAGAGAGAGAAGAGAGAGGCAGAGACACAGGCAGAGGGAGAAGCAGGCTCCATGCACCGGGAGCCCGACGTGGGATTCGATCCCGGGTCTCCAGGATCGCGCCCTGGGCCAAAGGCAGGCGCCAAACCGCTGCGCCACCCAGGGATCCCTGATGAATTCTTTATAGATTCTGGATACTAGTCCTTTATCCGATATGTTGCAAACATCTTCTCCCATTCTGTAGGGTATCTTTTAGTTTTGTTGATTGTTTCCTTCACTGTGCAGAAGCTTTTTATTTTGATGAAGTCCTAATAGTTCATGTTTGCTTTTGCTTCCCTTGCCCCTGGAGACGCGTCTAGCAAGTTGTTGTGGCCGAGGTCAGGGAGGCGGCTGCCTGTGTTCTCCTCTAGGATTTGGATGGTTTCCTGCCTCACATTTAGGTCTTTAATTATCATTTTGAATTTGTTTTTGTGTCTGGTGCAAGAAAGTGGCCAGTTTTGTTCTCCTGCATATGATTATCCAATTTTCCCAACACCATCTGTTGCAGAGACTGTCTTTTTTCCAGTGAATATTCTTTCCTTTGTCGAAGATGAGTTGACTGTAGAGTTGAGGGTCCTTTTCTGGGTTCTCTGCCCTGTTCCATCGATCGGGGTGTCT